GGAAGAACCGGCTCCAAATGTTCTGGGAGAACTTGCACTGCCATAAGATGTGATCGAGCTCCTCAAAGTCTTGCTTGCAAAGAACACACCAATGAGGCCCCAAGCAAGAAAGCTGCTGGAGACGATCTAGGGTATTTACTTTCCCAAGTAAAACTTGCCACACAAAAAACTTGATCTTCTTTGGAATTTTCACTTACTTTCCAAAGAGAGGTAAACACTGGACCAACCGGGGAAGAAACTGGGGAGCAAAGAAGTTTAAATAAGGAGCTACAAGAGAAACCCAAAGACGGACTCGGGGACCCAAATTTTATGGTCTGCTTGACGAGGTATGTTCAATTATTATAAAAAAAAAAGGGAGCTCCAAACAATTGAAGTTACTGACAATCGATTTTCGAAGATATCTAAATATACAATTATGAAATCATTGTTATTCAATCCAGCAACAAACTTATAAGAAATGGAAACATATGAAGAAAATCACTACATCCAACTATCGTCACCTACAAAACAATACAACTATAAGCTACTAAGATATAGAGAATGGATGCATCTCATACTGCCATTACTGACCTTCACCATTGTATCCCGCATAAAATCATACTCAAACCTCTTCAGCTGAAGTTGAAGGACTGGAGGGAAATCAATAAACAAGACGCCCTTCTTAGCTTCCTGAAAGAAATATTTACTTTATGCATGAAAACAAAATTAAAAAGATTTACCGCCTGCAGATAGCTCAGGAAGTTGAACTATCTCGTATTTCTAAATAAATGCTACGATGATTCCAATTCCAACTCTTTCTCATGTTGTTTGCATAAACTATTTTTTATACCATAAACCAAGCCAACCCTAGATAATTCAAACGGCTATGCAATTAGTGGATGTTCCCCACCTACTGATTTCTAAAAACCAAAAAAATAACATATACAGTAGTATGATCTTTTCAAGACAACAATAGTCGTTTTAAGGAAGTATTCGAAAACCAACAATAAAATTTGGAAAATTATCTGGAAAGGAATTGAGCCACATATAACCCACTTGATTGGTTGCTGATTTTTCAGATGAGAAAAAAAACACAAATGAATAAAAAGAACTATGCTTTTATCAGAAACAGCAAAAACAACACCAAAATAAGAAATAGAATTACATCAGGTCTAACTTATCCTGACATAAAGCCTCAAATTTTCTTTATCATAAAAAAGCCACAATGTACAAAGAAATACACTTCAGATGTGGTATTACCCTTAAACAGCCACAAAATAAAAATAAATACACGTTGGCGGAAAGAAATAATAGAAAAAGAGCTCGAGTTAAAGGCTTGACTCAAATCATCAACAGTACGAACCTGCAAGCCATGTTCTTCGGCATGATACTTGTTATCACCCTCAAGACGTTCAACTTCCACGTACTTATCAAACGAAGCATAGACATCATTACATCCTTTCACATCAAGCTGGAGATCTACAAAATCCACCCCAAAAAAAATCAGCTAAAAGAACTTTAATGAATTCAAATTTTCAAATAATGGTTTTTAAACCAGAAGTACCATAAAACGATTCCTTTCTTGTAGATTTGTAGTCAACATTTATGCATTCAATGTAATTCATGTGATGCCCCTCAAATAACTGCTGTATTGTCCCCTCCACAACAGTTCCCTGGACCAATAGAATAATTGCAAAAGAAAAGATAAAAGATAGGAACAAGTCAATGCATATAGGATTGATTATATTTTTATAAGCATTCATCAAAGAAATAAATCCAAGTATATCCTGTACTCGTACTGTACCTTCATTTTATCTTCAAGCTTTTCACACAAAACCCTATTGAGTTCTTGCACATCATGTTGCATAAAAGAATCATAAGTATCCCATCCAAATGACTTAGTAAGTTCTTTGGTTGCAACACTGCTGGCATTAAATTGAAGTTTATAGAACAGACTTTGAAGAGCCAAAGGGATGCTTCCTGAAGGCATGTCATTCTCAGTTGTTGGCATATGGTAAACAGCCTGGATATACAGAATAAGGAATTAAAAATGCTTCATAAGACAAATATAAAAAAAGAATATAGACTTTATCCAACCTTTCTGAAATAAGGTATATGGTAAAGTGTCTGAAGAAGAGAATTCATGTAACAAGTTGCCCCTTGGTTCTTAAGTCCCACATATCCAGTTTCTTTCTTTGAATCATATGACCAGTAATCAAGAACCTTACGAACCAAAACCTCAGCTTCAACAATACATGTGTCATTCACAAGGTACCCTCGACTAGGATCATAAAGATCACTAAGAGGCATGAATGATGTAAAACCCCAATCGCTTTCTCTAGCATTGAATTGATGTTTTGTGTCTGCATAATTAAACATGAAGCGCAAAAAAATATATTATTGCTCAAATCCCAAACAATAAAGTTTGCATGAACATGTGGTAACCCTTTCCCTTCATGCACAAAATTCTTCAATTAAAAGCATGATCCTACATATGTAACAAGCCTCTTGTCAGTTTACAAACGCATTAAAATGGTAAGCAGTTGGAGGTAAAAAATTCAATGAAAATAGAGATCATAATGTTGACTAATTTGAGTGACAAGATTCTTGAAAATATTAGTTCTTTTGTTTTATTGGATAGGACTTCTTGAAAGTTGAAAGCACTATTATGGCCATGGGAGCGCATCATTAATAGCATAGAAAAAAATGCTTAAAATGAAGGTAATCCATGGTTTTATCTCCACCAGCCAAGAGCCAAAGAATTTATATCTCTGCAACGGTAATCTTCAGTCAATATATGATACAAAGTTTTGGGGAAAGAGAAATAAGTATCTTTGGTCCTAAGAAAAAAAAAGCATAAATTATATGATTATTAGGCTTCATCTGCAAAGATGGATTGATGCTTCTTGGATAATGAAAGGATAAGTAACCAGACGTATACAAAAACATAGCTTTCATCTATAAACACCAATAAGTTGTTTCATAAATATGCAAGCTAACCACAAATAGAAAACTTTTTAATACCTTTCAACTTCATAGTCCTAAATTTATGGTTCACTCTTGACCGTTATAGATTTCAAGGATCATGATATCATACAGGATTTGCAAGAGTAAAATATTTTCTCAATTCAGCCATTGCAATATGCTTAATTAAATACATAATTCCACAATTTTCAATCAGACAATTACTATGTAGAGAAGTTCACAGGCAATAAATTCAATAAGCTAACAAAGAAAAAGACCTTTGTGTACACTCAAGAAGTTGACCTCAGTATTATCAACCTTTTCCATACACATGTTCATTTACGAGAAATAGTTTAATTTGCAAAACTTTCCCACATAAGAATCTAATCGTAGAAAAAATCTTATTAGCTCATTAATGATAAGAACGGATCATATGCCATCATCATTGCATACAACAACTTGAGATAAGGCTAAACTAAGGAGTTGGGGTTGTCGGTTTGGCTGCAATGTTTTTCCCCCTTACCATTGCCATATTTGGGTATGCACCTAGGTCATAATCCGTGAGATTTTTCCTTCTGGGGTCCGGCTCTAGATAAGATTTACAAAAGATTTTCATCTTGGACGAAAGCCTTGTGTACCCTAAGGGATAGGTTCACTTTGATTTAGATTCTATTGGCTGGCATTTCACTGTACATTTCATTGCCTTTCAAAATCCTAGCATCAGTTAAGGTGAAGTTGGACAGGATCATGGGAATTTTTTTAGTATGAAGGGTTGAGTAGGGAAGTAGCTCACATTTATTTAATTGGAGTTTATGTCCATCCTTCTGAGGAGGATGATCTGGACTCTGGAGATTGTAAAATGTCAGATGTAAAAACATTTCCCTTCTACCAATGGCTATCTATCGCTTTTTCCCTTCGAACCTCAAGCCTTGTAGCATAAGTTAATTGTTAGTATGAGATTCACTCCATTGGTGGGAAGTCCTAATCAAAGTCATTTGGGCACCTTGAGGAACTCAAGAAAGCTGTTTGTGATGCCGTTTAAGCACTCTGGGGAGGATCCTTGGCTTCAAAACTGAACACTACCCCCTTAACAATTTGCCTTATTTATTTTATATCCCTTTCCAAAAATTTCCAAATTTATTTGGATAAGGAGAGAGTTGCCTTCTTTTGACTTTCATATTGGAAAGCCTTTCTTAATATTCAGATTGATGAGTCAGCTTCACTACTATTTTCCAAATTATCAACCTCTTTCCAGGTACAGTAATCATTAAGTGGCTAAGTGGTCTATATATCCTTTTGGCATCATCACTCGTAAGTCGGTATACTGTATACATACATCTAATTTTCTTCACCTCCATCTTTGGCGCATTGATTTTTCTCTAAAACTCTATAATATATTTGTAGGTCAAATATCATGTGGTGGCCTAGTAGAAATTGGAGCTAGTGAATAAATTAAGAGACTCAGAAAGTGTGGGTTCAAACTATGGTGGCCACTCGCCTAAGATTTATAATCCTACAAGTTTTCTTGGCAACCCAATATTAGTAGAGTCAATTGATTGTTTCGTGAGATTAGTCATGCAAGATGGCCCAAACACTCCAAAAAATATATATAGTATCTTTTTTATATAATTGCATTTAAATAAACATAAAACTTATTTACGCATGAACTAGTTAGGAAAAGTGGGGAAAACACATGAAAGCTAACTGGCCATGCTTCAAAAAGAGAGCAAAAAAAGGAGAGAAAATCACAACCAGTCAATAAAATTTTTGTAGTGCTAATTTTCATCTAATACTCAACATATCAATATGCCAAAATAAGGTTGTAACAGAAAAGGTAAATAAATGGCTTGGAAGATTATTGTCATTTCGATTCCACAATTTTCATATGCCAACATAGAGGCAGTTCGAAATTGATGTTGATATATAAAAGAAAAGGCTCTCGTTCTATAAGAGATTAAAATATTGCCCTCACAAGCGAATACAAGTACACAAATAAAAATAAAAATAAAACATTCTTCAACATGTTAAAATTAATAGTGAAAAATAAATAAATTCTCAGATAATGGGAAAGTAAGTAGTTACCCTTTCGTATTGAATATTTTTTATGGACCTGATTAACCACAGCCAAGCTGAATTGTGAATATCTACTCCATCCATACGGCAACGTTGCAGAGTCTGCAACATCCAAATACATTGACAGGTGGTCCACGTTGTTTCCCTTTGGAAAAACTAATATCCGCCTGATGAAACCAACCAACTCAGATCAACAACTAGCTACAGCACCTCAATGGCGCAAGTTACAAATTTGGAGATGAAATACAGAACGTACCATTTATATCCGCCAACAGCAAATACATCAGAATAGTACTTTTTCATGTTTAGTCTAGAGAAGTTCTCAATTCTCCACGTAAATTTTATGGGTGGGGGATCCTCCACTTGCTGGTTCTCCACGGTGCTAGAAGGCTCCACTTGAGCTGCTGCAAAGAAAACAATCACATAAATGCAGGAAAAAAAAAATATATATATATATATCAATGCCCCAGTACTATATGGGAACATCATATGATAAAACTGAAGTTACGCCATAAAATAAAACCCAAAACAACCAATCTCCTAGTGAATTATAAACGCATTAGCTTAAAACCCAGCGCTAACTAAAAAGATCACAAAATTCAAATAGTAGACTAGTAAGCAGGGTGAATATAAACCTTCCATCGGCTGAGGACCCTCCACTACTACATCCGAATGCGGCACAAGCATCTCCTCGTCTTCTTGCTGAAAAAATAAAAACGCAAATCAGATCTTTCAGACGACGAAAACTTGACCCCACAAAGATTCAATCGAAACCCTAGAGCTATAGCAATTAAAGGAAGCGAGTTATTGAATTATCAACTCAATTTGACGTCCGAACCAAAATCAAAACCCTTGCGATCATAATTCAAAGAACAGCAAACACACAACAAAAGGACGACGAGTATGAAAACAATAAACAAGAACAGAAACTGAGAAAGAGTAGCTAAATTACATCAAGAGGTGGAGGAGTCATCATAGTCATTGATGAAGAGAAAATGACAGTCCGATCGACGAATCACGGAACAAGGAAAAGACGTAGAAACTTCACACAGTAAGGGGAAAACGAAGGAAAAGAAAAAAGCCTGCAGCACTCGAGAGAGAGAGAGAGAGAGAGCTGGTTCAGAAGAAAAACCAACAAAAAAAATAAAAAAGAAAGGAAAAAAAAAAAGGCCGTAATTTTACTTTGTGAGGAAGGGACGTGGATGGTCAATAAAGAAAAAGATGAGGGCAAAATGGGAAATTAGATGGCGGCGTCACAAAGTTCCGCTGCAGATACGATATACAGTAGTATGAGAGACCACCATTAAGAAAATGACACGCAATGAAGGGACTTTCGAACAGATGACGTGGCATCTTCGGAGAGTCACGTGCGTGTGCACGTGCTCTGGCTGTGTCTGATTTATTTTCACAATATCTCTACCTTTTTCTTTATTGTTTATTATTATAATCGTTCTTTTTCTTTTTCCTTCTTTTCTTAATAATTATTTTTTTGACTGTCTGTGAATTTGCAATTAATGATAAAGTAGTGAAGTAAAAGGTCATATATATTTATTTTTTCTTTTTTTTCAGAGAATGTAGTAAGATTTTGAAACTCAAAATTTTATTTAATTTTGCATTAAATGGGTGCCCAATTATTATCTAACATTCACTTCACAGTCACTGCGGTCAAATAATTGGATTTCATCCCACATCTGGTGTCAATAAATCATGATATAAATTTATATAAAATAAATAAAGTAAATAACAAATTTAAAAATAAAAGTGATCGAATTAGAAAATTTGAGATGCATGGTGAATTAGAATTTTGCATTTATGTCTTTAACTTAAATATTCCCACATGTATTATTATTATATTTTTCACAGGACAGTACAATTATTCATATATAATATAGATAAGATGACAATCCTGAATTATCAAAATAAGAATAAAAATAACAAACCTGGTTAATAATATGTTTTTTTAGTTTGAACCAAACAGCGAAGGTAAATTCTAAATAATTTAGAAAGAATAAGTTCAAATGATCATTGTCACCTATCCAGATTTTTAAATATCCTACGAGTTTTTTTTTTTCAACCAAATGTAGTCGAAGTGTGTACAAATTGGTCCGGACACTCAAAGTTGTCAAAAAACAAATTTTTGTTTTGTTCAAGAGAATTCAAACCCAACAACCTTAGGTCGAGAATATATGTCTTTGAGTTGTACTCAAGCAGTATGTTATTTACTTTTCACATTCACGAGTGTCAAAACGAGTTTATGGACGTTTTTCATATGATTATTGCATGACCTAATGATTAGTGGATACCATGAAGTTTGAACTCATTATCTTACAATATTTTCACCTATTTTTCACGCGCCTTAATGTCATTAAGAAAATTAATGGTAGTCAAATTTAAGATAATTGTTAAAACTAAGACTTTCAATTTTTTTCATACATACGTTTAGGATAATTGTATAAACACTAATGAAGTGTTTTGTCTAACAACAATAATAGCTTCTAAGCGTAAAATTTTCAAAATCACTCACTGCGTAACCAAATAATGCTAGATAAATAAATTTGAGAAGCTCTTAAAATATCCATTAAATTTACTCTAACTTCTTAGCCGAAGTTATTGAGATCATTGGTGAGTTTAATCGTGTTTTAAAAAGAACACACTATGATGTAACTAATTATACAATAAATTAGTTATGGGTTAGTGTAGCCTATTTGTCTATAAATAGGAAGCTCTATTTGTATCCTCTCAAGCATTAGAATAAAACTTCTCTTCTCTCATTTTGAGACTACACTAAGTTGGTATCAAAGCGACTCGAATCCTCGGAATGGCTGGAAAAAGAAATTTCCCATCCACGGTCAAAGGTTCACTTGCTGATCAAGAGACAGAGTCTGCCGCCGTCCTCTCTCCACGAGCCACAGCCACCATTTGATGATGGTTGAGGGGGCCGTTGAAAACCTCCAAAGAAATGTGGTAGAGATCCGACAAATTCTGAACGTGATTGTAAATAAGCTAGATGATATTCAATTGCATCAAGAACAGCCAATAGGGATTCTTGGGAAGGGGAAAAAGGAGCAGGGCATCGAGATTCATCATAATGGACAGCAACCAATTCCAAGATTGCCGCAAGAACCTTCCCCTACTCAAGAACCTCCCCATGTTCCCCGCCAAGTTCAAGACACCCAACGACCACTTATTCAAGAACTCCCTTGTGATAATCCAAGATTTATCCCAGATGTAGTGTTTGCTCCCTCCCAACAACAACAATTTAGGCGTGGTGATAGTCCTCACCATCGACGCCATGGCCGTTTTCCCTGGCACCAAGATTATCAAGATATCTCTTCCAGCGATGAGGAGGAAATTCCTCAGTGGGGGAACGATCATCGCCAACACAGGTGCCAGCGGCGTTATAATGGGGAACCAAGTGACTACAAAATGAAGGTGGACCTCCCATCCTTCGACGGAAAACTAAACATTAAAGGATTTTTAGAATGGATTAAAAATGTAGAAAGTTTTTTTTGGATATATGAATACTCCAGACACAAAAAGGTGCAGCTTGTCGCTCTAAAACTAAAAAGCGGTGCATCAGCTTGGTGGGAGCAATTGGAGGTCAATAGACATCGGTTTGGTAAAGCTCCTATCCGCACTTGGGAAAAGATGAAGAAGCTGATGCTAGCCCGTTTTTTGCCTATCAACTATGAGCAGATATTGTATAACCAATATCAGGGCTGTCGACAAGGAACCCGAATGATTGCAGACTACACCGAAGAGTTTCATAGATTGGGATCAAGAACCAATCTTGGTGAAAATGAGCAAATACCAAGTTGCAAGATTCATCAATGGGTTGTGGTTAGACATCAAAGAGAAACTTCAACTTCAACCGATTGGATACTTAAATGAAGTCATTGCAACAGTTGTTACTGTGCAGGAACAACAAGCCAACAAGTTCAAATTCAATATCAAAGGAGGGTGACAAGCGACAATCAGGTTAGTACCTTCAAGAAAGGCTTTCTTTCTACTGATCCATCCTCTGTGCAAGCCACTTCTTCAGGGTCTAAAAACAAGAATGGCGAGGAAGTTAAGCCCAGTGACCCCCCTGGCAAGAAAACTACTAATGTCTATAATCGACCAACTTTGGGCAAATACTTTCGGTGCGGTCAAGTGGGGCATTTGTCCAACGAGTGTCCACAACGGAAAACGCTCAATATAATTGATGACTCGTTGGATCTTCACCTCAATGAGTGTCAAGATTCAGATGGAGAAATCACCTATGTTGAACTTGATGATGGTGAGCAGGTGGCCAGTGTTCTTGAACGCATTTTATTGACACCAAAAACTGATTTGGCAAGCCAACGACACTCCCTTTTTCGCACACGGTGCACGGTCAATGGCAATATCTGCAACATTATTATTGATAGCGGAAGTACAGAAAATGTGGTGTCCAGCAGTTGGTTGCAACCTTAAATCTCAAAGTTTCACTACATTCATCCCCTTATAAGGTAAGTTGGATCCGAAAAGGGGGGAAACTTTGTTTAATACCATATGCACGGTTCCCCTCTCTATTGGAACAAGCTATAAAGACCAAATAACCTATGATGTGTTAGACATGGATGTGTGCCATATACTTATAGGAAGTCCATGGCAGTATGAATTTGTTTGGATGGGAAAGACTGTGGTCTTGCTTCCCATCACAAATTCTAATAGTGCCAAACCAACAGAATCATCAAACTTGTTCCATATATGCAGTGGCAAACAACTGCTTTTACATCGATCTAATACTTTTTTAGGGATGATTGTGAAAGACTTCAACTCCTCCACCAACGATCAAACTTCCCCTATACATCCCTCCATACAGTCCCTTTTAGATACTTTCCCCACAATCCTACAGCCTTATAACTCCCTACCACCCTTAAGAGATATACAACACCATATCGACTTATTACCCGGTGCCACCCTCCCTAATCTTCCACATTATAGGATGAGTCCAAAAGAATATCAGATTCTCCACGACCAAATTACTGAACTCCTAGAGAAAGGCCACATTCAACCTATTCTAAGTCCATGTGCGGTCCCAGCTCTTCTCACCCCAAAGAAGGACAACTCCTGACGCATGTGTGTTGACAACCGGACAATCAATAAGATCACCATCAAATATCGTTTCCCCACCCCACACATTGGAGACTTACTGGATCAGTTAGGCAGGGTCAACATTTTTTCAAAAATAGACCTTCGCAGAGGTTATCATCAAATAAGAATCCGCCTAGGGGATGAATGGAAGATAGCCTTCAAAACTAACAAGGGTCTCTTTGAATGGTTGGTCATGCCTTTTGGGTTATCAAATGCCCCAAGCACCTTTATGAGGCTCATGAATCAGATTCTCCTTCCTTATCTCTATAAATTCATTGTTGTTTACTTCAATGATATCTTAGTATATAGTAAAACTAGAGAAGAACACCTCACACACCTACAACTTTTATTTTCCACACTAAATGAAAATAACCTAGTCATAAACATAAAAAAATGCTTATTTCTAGCAATGGAAATCTCTTTCTTAGGTTTTATTTTAAGTGCTAATAGAGTAAAAATGGATCCTTCCAAAATTAATGCTATAACAAATCGGCCTCAACCACAGTTTATAAGAGCCATACAGTGCTTCCTTGGAATAGCATCCTTCTATAGAAAACTGATTGTTTAAGAAAACGAAACTTTAAATGGGATACCGACCAACAAAATAGCTTTGTCACTCTCAAACAAAAACTTACTCAAAGCTCTGTCCTACGCTTACCAGATTTTTCGCAACCTTTCGAAGTGGCTGTAGATGCTTCCGGTATAGGAATAGGGGTTGTCTTGTCACCAAACCAACACCCCATTGAATACTTTAGTGAAAAGCTTAGCCCATCCCATAAAAAATGTAGCACATACGAGCAAGAATTATATGCCCAAGAACCCTTAAACAATGAGAAAACTATCTATTAAATCAAGAGTTTATACTATTTACCAACCACTTCTCCCTCAAATTCCTACACACACAAAAATCTTTTAGCCGAATGCATGCCATCTGGTTATCATTTCTTCAAAGTTTCGACTTCGTAATAAAACATAAAGATGGTACGCTAAATAAAGCTGCAGATGCCCTTAGTAGGA